ATAAGCTATTTTATAATATTACATTTCTTGCTTTTTTAAAAACAAATTCATTTATGATGTCATCAAAGTTTAAAGAAGATGTAAAATCACTTTATTGATAGTAAACCTATCAAGTCTTTGTTGAAAAAAAAAAATTAAAAAAAAAATAAGATTCCTAAAAATAGGAGGCCCTCTAATAACAGAGGCCATAGGCAGTTGCTTATCCTGCCTAATGGTAAATATGGCCCTGCCGCACATTATCGCGACTTATCGGCAATCGATAAAAACTCGATAACCCCACCTCTCAGATGGTCGGTGCTTCGTTTACCTCAAATTACAGGAACAATATCTATAAATATAGTCTACTAAAATCGGATGAATCGTTTTGGAACGCCCTGTATTTATATATGCCCACCTGTATCAAACGAACGTATAGTGTACGTTATGCGAGGGTTTTACCGTCTTAGTCCTTCTTAACCTGACCTTATTGCCTGTACGATTTTTACCAGAACGTACATTATGCATTCGACTTAATTCCTTCGGAAACCGGGAGGAAAGGTTAAATTCGGATGTTTTCCGGACCGGATATTGCGGATACTGTCAATTGCACATCGGCGAATACGTTTGAACAAGGCATAGATGGGTCGTATCGTGGTGTAATACAAGATTACGGGAATCGCACGAGAATAGTATACTTTCAGACGATCTGACGATGTATACGTTATTGTATTTAGCCGATTTAGTAGTTCTAGTCTTTCATCATTTTGACATGGATACAATATCTCATGGCTGGTGTCGTGTTCCGAAAAATTGACCGACACCGAGAGCGCGTTGCGATAAAATTATTTTACGACGAGAAAAAGAAAACATTAAAAGCTTGCAAGGAAATCTTTGCGTTAATTTTGTGAAAAATGACATGTGTTTACGGCTTACCATCATATTGGCTTTTCTGTAGAGATTTAAGAGATAAATAATTGATGAAACGAATTATAGGTCAATTCCGTTTGCACCGCAACTCATTGAAATACATACCTACGGTTTTCTGAAAACATTTTTTCCGAAAATCAGTTGTATGTTAAACTGAGTTCTCGCCTCGAAATGAATATAGCCACACCTTACATATTTTTAAGAAATAACTATTTTTGGGGAGGGCAATACATACAAAAATAACTCGCCCCGGGGGCACGAAATGTTCAAATACAGCACTGGATACGCGTGAATAATACATTTTTTATTTCAGCCCCCTGCACCGTCCTTCGTTAACTACAACTTATTGGTGTAGCCATTCTACTGCAGCAGATTCGAACGTCATCGTAAACGATTACAACACTGTTGTACCCGTATTGTTTAGGAACCACTGTCCGTCCGCACAACAATAAATGCAAGTTGTCTTCGAAACTCGTTTATTTTTTACGCGCAACAAAAAGACTGTCTATACTTGTATCTCAGTCCTCGTTTTCTCGTACCTATTATGCTACCCGCAGATCGATCGATAACTGTGCTAAATCGTTCGACGTGGACATTCCTATGTCGACTGAATTCAGTAGCCTCAGGAATAGCTATACAAGACATGTCCACGTGGTACCGATTTATCTGCAGACAGTGGTGTAGACACTTAGCACGCATATAGGTGTACATAGGTTGTTTGTTTGCAATGTATTTTCTCAATAGGAATTACTGAGAAATAAAAGTTTAACCTTTTCACTGCTACACTAATAATTATGCGCCACAACCTGTGTATAAGTACGTAACAAGACGTATATACTACATAAATTGAATTTATTAAAAAATTTTCGAATGCTCCTTAGTGTTCTCTATATACCTAACTTCATACTATATGTAACAATACAATACGCTTGTTAATTTATAATTTCAACTTCCAATTTTTTAAATTTTTTTTTTTTAATTTTGTGGATTATCCGAGGAATTATTTGTCTATCCGTGGATGTCCTGCCACCGTATTCCGCAGATAATCGAGAGTACACTATACCTATTTGTTATAATATTGCCATAAATATCACTAAACATGTGCTAAAAATGTGCAATAAAAACAACAAAATAATATGTAAAAATTGGAATCTTAAGACAATTAATTAATTACCTATACTAATTATAAGGCACGAGTGACAAGGAATAACCAAAAGTCACACGTTCAACCATAAACACAACTGGTAGAGAAAAGGTAAGAGTACACGACTATAGTCCAGCAGTCGATCTCAAGTCACTACTCCCATTATTTTTTTCAGGATTATTTTATAAGGTAATACATTTTTATAGCTAAGAATTGATAATTGAATGGGTACATTATTCGTAAGTGGTTTATAGTGGAACCGAAAAACATAAAAAAATATATATAGGTATAATTTTTTTTTCATTCAAAAATATACCAAGTTCAAATTTGGACTAAGCCAAATATTGTTTAAACAAAGAACAACGATTTTATTTGTTGTAGTTTAAGAATACTATTCGTGGGTACACGAAACTTTCAATTTATATTATTATATTTTATATACCCAATGACGTACCTTTTCAAATGCAATGTTTTCGGGCAAAAGTTAATTTTCGGTTGAATATAGAATTTCTTAAAACTTTGAATTTTCAAACTCTCGTCAAAAATATTTGTAACTTTCAAGTAAACTTTTTTTTGTTAAAGGTAGACAAACTTTGGTTGGTGTTACGAATCTTGTATTAAATTTTCTAAATCTTAAAAATAAAAATTCTTTAAGTACTGTTTTAGTAGGTATCACTAATTAATATACCTACCTACATAGTAAAATAAATTATTTGAATAGGAATAATATTATAAAATAAATTATTTGAATAGGAATAATATTATAAAATATACAATGACAATATAATTTATGTATACCTATGTAAAAGTATATTATACCTAATACCTACTTAGTAATAATATAAACTCTCGACTTAAAAACCCTGACTTCCCTCAGAATAGTTTTTCGTATGGATACAATGTTTTTATAACATTGAATTCAAATGTCACACATCCATTACCATTTACCATCCTCCTTATGACTTATTAATAATTAAGTTGTTCCTAAGTTGTACCTTTAACAAAATAAAAACTTCACTGAAAAGTTACATAGGTAGGCTAGGTAGCTACATCGTACATTTCTCGATGAACGTTTGAAAACACCAAGTTTTACGAAAATTAGATATTCAACCATAAATTATTTACGTAAACTTCTCATCGAATGATTTTCTTATTTAGTTGTAACTTATTCTAAAGTAAATAACCGTAGATAGGTAGTTACAATTATTACAAAATGTTTATCAATTTCTGAACATCTACCTACCTACCTATGCTATAACACCTTTAATATAATATTACGTTCAATCATTTCGATTAATTAGACAGGTATTTAAAGAATGAACTTTTATTTGTTTTCGGATTACGATAAAAGAAGAAAAACGTTTAATCGAAAATTAACAAAGGGTGTATATTTAGTGTCGTAAAAATATGAACTTCAAACGCTTGTAAAAAATTAATATGATTTTCCGGTAAACTTTTCTCTTTTCTTAAAAATAGAAAAACTTATAAGGAATATTGTACTAAATTTGCAAATATTTGCTTCTATTATAAAGAGAACATTTTTTATAAATTTCAAACTAAAAAAAAAATGCAAATGTACACAATTTTGACTAAATTTGGCAAAATCTAACTTCAGAGTTGATGAGACTCTCATGAAAATTATTGTGGATATTGTTTTCTATGATTCGTACAGTGCTACTTCAAAATATAGATAAATATAAACTTTAGACAAATAAAATATTTACCAGTTCCCAGAAGCGTACATTTTAATAATAGGTACCTTAAATTTCTTTTGACTTTTAATACTATCCGATGCCGATCTAGTAATCTTACAAAGTCCTCATATTATTTTTAGGTTAAGTAGTGTAAACCTAGTGGTTTTTCATAATATTGACTTGAAATCAGTTAAGTCAGAGCATTACTTATTTGTTTGACTATAGATAAGTTGTAAACAAAACAATGATAACAATTTTATATTAGGAATGTTAAAATGTTGATAGACCGTGATTAAAAATGTTGAAATTCATTAAACACCAGAGGCGCAGACATTAAAAACAAAGTATAACTTATAAATCATAATCAGCATTGGCTACCTTGAGCATTAAATTAACAAAACCAGTACACATCATAACTGATCTGTAATGAGTTGTCATGAAATTTATCACAATAAAGTAAAAATTTAATTGCTGATATTTAAAAAAATTATCATCAGTAAAATTGTTTGAATGTTTATTTTTTTAGTTAATTCATTACTCGCTTACACCATATTTGATGCTTAGTAATGTATCTATTCGTCCTATTTGTTATTTTTCATCTTGACCTTGTTTAACCCAATATAAACTGATTTACATATACAAGTTGTCATACATACCGTATTGTAGGTTTTATTTGATTGGTTGATAACTGTTTTTTGGTAACACTTCAGAAAATAGATGGAAGAAACAATGAACAAAACTCTGTAGTAAAAAATTGACTGCTTTATTTTCACAAAGCAAACAATAAAAAAATATTATTTAATGAATTTCTACGTTCTTATAAAATGTAAAGCATAGTTTCTTAATGATAAAAAAAAGTGAGTTAGGTAACTATTTTTTATGACTGGGAATTATAAGGATCAGAACTTTTTTTTATAGAATCAGATTAATCAAAAATCTTAGATCAGCAGTACATTTTATACAGGGCAGTAATATATATTGTATATAATACAACATTATTATACAATTTCTTATTATAAAATCTGAATAAAATGTAAAAAAAAATATTTATACATAGGTAATATGGAAAATTTAAATTTGTCTTCAATACAGATAGTAGCATCTACAAAATATAAATATCCTTCTGATATGAATATTAAAAAAATTCCAGTAGATAAATACAATAATCAATGTGTACAATTCATTTTATGTTACATTATGAACATAATTAAAATTGTACCAATTCAAATAATAAGTTTAAAAATAATTGAGCATTACTATGTAAACTATTATACAAAAAAAAAAAAAAAAACAATTATAACTTATAAAAATCCTTGTGGAAGTTTAATAACTCCCAAAAAGGTGTTAAATGGTGAGCCCAGATATAATTTATCATCAATCACTTCAACATCACATATTCCAGTTACCTTTCCATCTGTAGAATGGTAGCTTGATAATACTTTGCCTTGTTCATTAACTTTTAAAACAGAAAGCCGTTGTCTAGCTATTGATTTGATGAATGAAATTGATTCAAAATGACCAATCTGAAAAAAAAAAATGTTTACACTTGTTTTAAAGCTACATTATTATGCATTTAATAGACATTTTTTTTAACAATAAGTAACTTTATAAAAGGCCATTCACACTGTATTGAATGCAAATTTTTTTTTTTAATGTATGTGTATAATTTGGAACAAATTTGTATTAAAGAGGCTACTTTATTTAACCAACATTTGCATTTTTAGTATCTAAAATAACTTATGAATTTAATTGAATGATACTTTAATATATTACAGGTTTACATTATAAACGATACAGTTTAAAAGTATTATAAAGTAGTTTTGGGAAATTGAGAATTAACACATTAATATTTAAAAATATAAATACATATTCATTTAAACACAACACAATTTATCTAAAATAAACTGTAACTGTAATGTATACAATTGTGAAATAGCCATGCTGAATGTTAAATAAAAGAATTAATTTCTTATACTGTATTGTGGTCTGATCATAAACATTTTTTGAAACATCCATTTCATAAACATTGTGTAACAAATATAATATACAAGATTTTATAAATTACAATACAGATAGGTATTTGTGTTATATATTTACCCAATGAAATGCTCTTTTGCAATATAAATTGGGATATAATGAATTGATCTTGAGTAATGTAAAATCAATTATTGCAAGAGATTTGGTAATCATCATTCTAATAGTTGGATATTCACCGATACTATCAACAATTGGAATTCTTGGTATGACTAATGGAATATAAAACGACCCTCTGCCATTTCTTTTAATGTTATCTGGCATTCCTGGTAACCCATCAATAAATATTTCACTTTTTCCAGCTTTGTGTCCTTTTAAATAATACCTAACAAATAGAACAAATAATGTTATTTTTAACATATGCCATGAGTAACAAAAATATTGCTCACATACTTATGTACACGATATTTCCCCGTTTCAGCCACCAATATGAATGATTCATCATCTGATAATTCTATACCATTAGCAAATTGAAGATTTTTCATTAACACTGTATTTTTTTTAGTTTTTGGATCATATTTCAAAAATCTAAAAAAAAAAATTATAAATTATTGTTTTTATCTTGAAAACCATTTTCAAATACCTACTTTATAGACATAAAAGTAGGTATAGAGCAAGTTTAATTTTCTAAATTTGTATTATTTTTTTTAATATCAGCTAAACAGTAAACATATTATTTCTTATTTAGTGTAATAAATCATTTTAAAATCAAAAAGCATTAATTACATGTTGCTTTGTGTAGGTATAACAAAAGGATTTGTTACACCAGCCTATTTTATATTTAACCCAGCTACCTAGTTATGACCAATATCATTGGAAAATTTGTTATATAAGAACATTTTCAAATACCCATTAAATCTTAAGTTTATTCCTTTAAAATATCGTCTATTTTCTCTAATAACTCAAATAAAACCTAATAGGTCTTTGGTCATAAAAATTATGGCACGTTTGTTGTTAAAATACAGGAAAAAATATATTTATTAACCTTCCAGTTCCATCAACAAATAATGTATAAAGTCCATCGTGTAATTTGTAGTTTGTATCAGAGTCTGTCCAGTACAAAGTACCATCAGAAGCTATTGCAACTGAATTTGGTATTTGAGGACGCACACCATCAATAACTTCATCTATTGAAACTAATTGCTCTTTTCTGCCTATTATATAAAATAAAAACAAATATTGTGGTCCAATTATGTCATTAATATTTTACAGTAAAAAAAAAAAAACAAAATGTAATTTTAAAACTGTACTGTTTACCATACTGTTCTGGATTTAAATTCACTTTGAAAATACCGTAGTAGGCATCAGCTACATATAAAAATCCTGTTTTATCTATACATAAGCCAAGTGGGCGTCCACAAATTTGTTCATCATGTAATCCATCTAATACAAATAAATCAAATTAAAAAAATTATGGAAATGAAATAAGCATTTAGCATTTAAAGAATGTTATAAATTTAATATATTTTGGTTTGATTCAGAAATTATCTACAATATTTTTATATGATGTTCAGTAAAAAAATTGAATTATATTTTTAATGAGTGATATTATTAGGTATTTATAAAATAAATTTACTTACCACAGACTTTTCCAAATTTTACAACAGGAACTATTTCATTATCAACAATTTTAACAACATGTCCATAGTGCAATGTTGTATATAAAGTATTATTATAAAACAACAGACCTTCAGGCCCTACAATTTTGCCTTCAAAAAGTTTTGATATACCTGATAACTTTTCATTTAATGCTAACGGTCCGGTGAAAGGTCTTTGTTGTGTGACACTGTTAACAATTTCAGAAATAATAATAAAAATAATAGTAACAATAAATCAGTATTCCATGATATGTTTATATTATATTGGTGTATTAAGGATTAAAGAATAAGAGCCCAATATACTTACTAACAATATAATAATATATTGACTGTGTATTGGTGATAATGAAGGTGAAACATATACATGTTCAATAAGTTAATTGAAAATGTCAAAACTATTTTGATATTTATTGATTATTAATTGTTGACACAACAAAATTGATTGCGTATGGAGGCTATAACAACTTACCTGTACTCGGTGAAAGTGACGTTGTTCTTTAAAGGCAGCAAGGTGAAGAAGCCAACTAGAGCCGAGGTATAAACACCCAATTTCAGCACCAAGTTTGCGATAGTCTTAAAATGAAAATTGAGCATATTTTAAATATTATTCTAATACGTAGGTACACGGAACAAACAAACGACAACGGGACAACAGCGGTACGACTTGTGAGTACGTTTTGCGTTGTTGTTCAGCTGTAGATCGCCAGACACGTGCCCAAATTTAATTTACCATTTTTCAGCCGGCGCGCCTTTGATGCGGTGCGGTTGTTGGGTTTTCGCGTGGAACGTGTTGTCTAATTAACTGCGGCAACAGCGACAGCGGACGTGGGAACGGTGGTAGCTACCTAGTCGTTAATGAATATTATAAAAATGAAAAAAAAAACCTAACGCCGACGTTATCTAACTCGTCAAAGTCGAACATAGGTCACGGACTATAAATAATAATGTTATGCGTACCTATAATACTGTCAATACGAATTTCAGATTAGGCATTAGCATTGATTATAAAATGTGTAGACGTGCATGGCTCACCGCGAGTTCACACAACACCGGCTACCGCGGACTTTTGGAGTTTGGAATAGGTACCTATTAGCCGCCGATCGACGTGCCGCCGTTTAACGTCGGGATTCACAGAAAATAATAACAACATTAAAACGACGACCGCAGCTTTCACTTTCACTTCCTGCACAGTTCCCACAACGGTGACTTCCTACTCGAGGTGACGCGTTGATTATGCCCACAACGGTCTTACTGGACTCATTCCGCCCGGAGCGTGACACCACGATTTATGGCACATTCTGAGTGCCTACAACTATTGTGGTAAGCGAGTACCGCGGGTGTGCGAGCACGGCTAACGAGTAGCTAATTTAAAAAAAAAACTACGATATTATTATCGCAGTGACGACCGGTGATAACAAAAGTAAAAAACCCTGATAACAACACGAACGGTTTTTATGCGGAAACAAATCTCGATTTCTCGTTTCACTGATAAGACGTGATAATAAGTGACATGACCGCGTCGTGTCGAGTTGAAGTGCCCACCGTCGGCGGACGTCTAATTTTATTTACCTGCGGATTTATAATACGCACACGGTCGAAATCAAAGTTCGGGCCAACCCGGGGGACATGGTTGGGGGGGGGGGGCACCATTTCCAGAAAACTTTCGATATTCTGATAGGTAGTTTTATTCGAAAATTGACGTACGTTGTCGTTGAAGATTTTAAACACCTTGGAGGCACTGAGTAGTTACTGGACAGTGCAGGACGACAATCAGTCCGAGCTTGGTAATATTATTTTACATATTATTACTTTGGCAAAAAAGACTAGACCGGCCGGCGTCCGCGAGAACATTCGGTCTGGTGTACAGGGTTGGGGCCTCGTTATACATTATCAAGCAGATAAAAAAAAAATGACAAAGGCAAAAAAAAACAACTTATCAAATATGTTTCATTATAAGTACCTACCTAACCAACCTATAAATCTACATTGCATAATTCTAATGATGTAACTACGTCATGTAACCTGTATAATAATAAATAATAATATCTGATAAATCAATCAAACGATTTTGAATTTATGTCTAACCATGATTCATTTTTTAATCACATGTTTAAAATAGGTACATCTTTTATTCGGAACACCTTTACGGCTAGATACCTACTTATAATATTTTTGGTTAAAAATTGTAACTATTGGCATAGTAACGCGCATTAACGTCGTTAAATAAAATGTTATATCTACTTAAAAAGAAAAAAAACTTTTACATTATAAAGGCAGTTATAACGAAAAGCAAAAGTTTAAGATTATGATTATATAAAAATTAGTTAACCTAAATCAAAAAAATGATTAAATTTAGTTTCGTGTATTATATACTCTACGCGTGCAATATAATATAAATAAATGCACTGAATAACTTAGGTGCCTTAGGTCTATAGAGTCTATACCGAATCACGTCAAACAAGTCCTAGGAAAAAAAGCCTGGGTTAAAAAGTCAGGTTTATTATGTTAGTACAATATACATATTATATATTATATAACAATAATTAAAAAAAAATTACTAACTTTATACCATACAAGAAAAAATCGAATTTAACTATTCATACAAAAACGTCATATACGTAATACATAATAAATAATAATTTGTCAGTCTAATTCACTATATCGTCATGTTATATATAAATAATTTGTTTAAAAAAAAAATTTTATTTTTATCTAGGCCGTGTTCTAATGACTAATACTATGACAAATTTCTTTTAGTAAAAACAATAGAGCTTCGGCTTGTATCTCACTTATACAGCACCTAACGAGTAGGGTAGACAAAAATGGTAGAAAAAATTACTGCAGACAAAAATGGCAAGTGACAACTGTAATATATGCAGTTATGCATACATTCCTAGCAGTTGTGTGTATTATAAATAAAATTGGTGTTCAAATAGTTGTAGGTGGCTTGCCCCTTTGTTATATTGTTATGAATTATGCTACAAAATATGTCCTATTTTTTTTATATCAACCCATATTTAAATTTTAAGCCGCAACACGTGGACGCCACTGCTCCCTAATACCTATGGGCTATAGATATCTCTATACCAGATAATTACCGATATTGGTACCTACAATGCTTCATTATTTTTTAAATTTTATCAGGCAAATGTGTTGAATTAAAATATATATTAATATTTAATGCTAATTGGAACGTTAATATTGTGAATCACACAGTATTTTTCCTGTCATCTAATCACTCAGACTTTTTAAAAAAGAATTAGCTGTCCTGGCTATTCCAATTTCAGTTGCAGTATCAAAAAATATTAAATAATATTGAATTGAGTTTAGTTCCTGTCTCTAACTTGAATAAAATTTTACCGAATTGGTTACCGTTAAAAAAATGTATTTTATTCAGACGAGCTGAATTGGTTCCCGTTCAGGTCAGAAAAGTTTAAATTTTAATTTTCCCTCAAATTTTCTCAATATGAAATCGTATAAAGAATTTACTAGGGCGCAAAATATTTTTATTTTATGGAGACATGGAACAATATTTAAAAATTAAATTGTATCAAATTTCGGAGTAGGTATATAGTGATACAAGGAAATTTACCAGTAATCTAGAAAAAACAACCAATACTTGGAAAAGTGTACTGATTACTAAATTAGATATATTAACTAATTAACTTACACTAATAGAATATTTGATGAAAGTTTGCTTCAAATGTTCAAGGTTAGTTTAACTTAATGTTTACCTATCAGTTCAACAATTTAAGATGTTTTTAATACTTTTTATATGCCTAAGTAATGACAATCTTATGACACTCCCATAGTCGGATAGTCCCATAATTCCAACAGCAGTGGGTTAAGGTGTCATTTAAGAGAAATTTAAGCAAATCATCAACAATTTAATTCACCAGTCAAAATCAAAGGCCAAGTTTAACACAAAGTGGGATTGAGGGCAACCTAACCGATGCCAAACGAACCACATACATTTTTACAAATTTACTTCATAGACGGTGAGGAATAGGAAAAAAATGAATATTTGGTTATTTTGTTATTTTTATAGGCCGTCATCGTTCACAGTGCTCCATTTCTCTTTCAATCATATGCCACTATATACAACATCCCCACACACTCACAATCATTTTTAATTTTGGATTTTTAAGTAATTTTACAAAAATATTCTTTGGAAATAATTTATGTGGCAAAACAACGTTTACCGCAGGTTAGGTTAGGGTAGATTGCCTAACTGATAATATACTGCTCGCATTATTATTATTATTATTAATTATTAATAATTATCATTTATTATTAATGTATATTTTATCAAGTCTCTTATGTAGAGATGGCATTTTTAACGGGCAACGAAGTGCACGGGATCAGCTAGTTATACATATATATATATATTACATACATCATATATATATATAACAAAAATAATAGTACTGTATACAAGGTCCCTTAGAACTTTTTTTTTTTATTTTAAAAGAATATTTACAATCTATGCTACAAGGCATAATAAGCAAATTTGAACATAATATTATACATAGAAAAAAATTTATTTTTTATAACTTGAACACATGAGAAGGGAGGCCGCCCAGTGATAGAACCCAACGTTATTTTCCCTTAGAACTTATAAGTTATTCTTACTATAGTGGCTTACATTCAATTTTATGGTATGAGGGGGGGAGGGGATTCAATTTATTATAAATATTACCTAGCTATTTATAATCAATGGTTGACGGTTGTATACAACATTTATGAGAGTGCATTACCCAATCCCATAAATTCTATCATAGATCTTTTCTACTAATCGTACTATTCTTAGGTATTATAGGTACTGCAGAATAACATACATTTTTCGGTTCACCAGTGAGTTCACATTTGATAGGCATACCACTATACCAGTTTACCTACTTGTCTATGCGCTTGGTCGCGGTTATAAAAACGAAAAAGAATTAATAATGAGTCAAATTGTAAATATTAATTAGGTACTAATTAAAAATAATATTTCAATGGGTCTACTCGAATAGACGCACCACACACACACACACACACACACACACACACACACACACACACACACACACACACACACACACACACACACACACACACACTCGTAAAATAATATTTACTGAAACCTAATGCGATTAATACTACCTGTGTACCTAATATCTACAGAAAAATAGTTTTCATGGTAATAATACAAACGTTTATTTTTATGTTCACTTCAAACCGAAAGTCAATGGTTTGTGATCCTATCATAACTATGGGCAAATACCATGGCTATACTTAGGTACTAAATTTTAAACACAAGTTCAAATGTTCATCGATGACCACATGTAAAAAATATTATGATATTGACGACTACGATTATTATTCTCGAATAATCAAATTGATTAGCATATTCATATAATCGTCAAACGTGACATAGTCACTCACCTAAAAAAAAAATTACACTGTCGTCGACAGCAAAAATACGTTCGCTATATTATTCGTACACGTAATTGTTGTAAACTACTGCTTTGAATGGCCTGACTTTCGGCATTTCGACGGCCAAAATAGAAGTTACTTAACTTCTATTTTGATTTTTGGCCGTCAAAGGTCAAGTCATAGGTAGGCATGTAGTGTAACGACTAACGAACCGCTAAATGACACTGATTACATCGATTTGCAAACGACTATTATGTTGTATAGGCACCTCCTATACCTTGGTAACTATATACTTTTATTTCTGATTTGCGATAAAGCCAATAATATTGTTTATTGAAGGATGCGTTTTTATCTCAATGGCTTAAGTACGAAATTGTCGAGCACTCGTGCTATATAAACATTTCCACAAATATATAAAATGATTGTGTATACATAAACAGTGTGACTTTTATTTAATACATATTTTGTGTAATATTATGTTAAGTATTCTGTATTCTTAAAATACTATTCTAAAATCACAATAAATAAATAAATCACCAAAGTTTAATTTACTTGCAACAAAAAAATCGCGTTAAATTGACAGTTTACCAAAACACAATGTCGTTTTAAATGTAATCATAGCAATTAATACTATAATCATTTTTAAAAAAAGATCAAAAATGCTTACGGGTGAATAAATGAAATTGCTTAATGAACTATGCGCTCCTGCGCATTTGAAATTCAATTTTTATATATTTAAAATTCTCAAAGAAATATTCTGCTTTGCAGTGTTAAATTAAAAATATATGAGCTGTCATTCAAAAAAGTAATCAGCTGAAAAAAAATAATAACAAAAAAATATGATTTTTTTTATAAATGTTATTTTACTATGATGCCAAATTATGTATAACATTAATAATTACAAAAAGGTTTGTAATTTTTGAGAATATCTCGTCATGTATATTCTATCTAATATTATAGTTTATAATATTGAGGTCACACACACACTGGTTTCAGTTGGAAATATTAAAATGTATCAAATTAGATAAAAATTAATATTTTTTAAAAAACTACTTACTTTTATTCTCTAGAAAATATTAAACTTAAATTAATATCAAATACAAATCATGCTATTATCTAAAATACTAAATTCAAAGCATTGCAGGTTATTAAACAAATAATATCAAAAAGTAAACTCGATATATTTGTTACTGTTTATTGTTCAACAATCATAGCTGATATACGCGTTTAAATTATTTTGTATTTTTATGATTCTTTTGCAAAAGACGGGTTTACAATTTTTTTAATATATTCACCTATGTTTAAAATGTGTAAACAAGCATCATTAAAATACAGGATATAATCGGTATAATGAATCAATATTGGTACGTTAGAATAATGTAAATTAATAATAATGAGTAAAATATAATATTATCATAAAAACATGAGATAAATTATAGTAAATAAACTTTGAACATAATATAATAAATATTTTTCACAACACAGCAGGTACATAATAGGTAAACAGGTGAAATCTCCTTCGGTATATATGCAAGGTTAATTATTTAGGTATATATATAGGTAGTAGGTATAGTATGATTGTTATGTGATGACTTCTGACGACGTTAATATTTTTGCAGACATAGTTTTGGTCATATGTCTGGTAAATGGTCGAAATGTTTTTGCGCCACTTTCAAGGGACGAGTCAAGTCGGGGCTTTGATTGTTGCTCGGTATCTGTGGAAACAGCGTTGACGCGATGTTCACGTAATGTCCGTTCTGTGAAAAATCAACACAAAACGATTTCCAATAATTATTGGTAAAGCCAATCAGCAGCCAATAGATAAAAATTATAATTGCAGCCCACTGTTTAGGCACTATCTACTCACTACTGACGTTTTTATTATTATTTCAAGTTCAAATTGCCATTTTTAAAATCTACTGTCATAATATACATCAACACATTGAAAAAACCTACGAAAAAAATATTCGAAAACCGTTAACGTACGTATGGAGGTACCTACTAACTGAAAATGAAGGCCAACGTTAGAAAATAACTCTTTAGGGTTGGGGTACAGCGACAATTTGGGATGTGTTTATATAGTTAGTAATATGTTGATGGTATTCGAATCGGTACAGGTATACGGAACGGTATACCACGGATACTAGTACAAACCGCATTACCGGTACATACTCGGCTATACCGAAATATACTGTTATACCTGAAAACTAGAATACCGCGGTATGTATACCGTAATATCGTCATGTGGCCGGATGGTTAGGTGACTTGGAGAGTGTAAATAATGAAACAGACTAACAAACATTAATTTTAAGTATAAGGTATTGTTACATATAAGCGGTTTAGAAACATGTTTTCCGGCGGTGCCCTTTTTCGGACTACATTTAGCCGTGGTGCCCTGCCGGAAATATCTCAACAAATTTGCACAATAAAAAAAACACTTATTCTCATTGATAATCAGCAGGGAACGGACTTTATTGTAATAAAAAAATCTAAATATGTAAAAAATATGTAAAAAAAAATTAAAAATATGTATATCGAAAAAATGTATTAGTAGGTACTGAAAATTACAAAAAAAAAAAAAATGTATAAATAAAAATATTACAAACGATGTAGGTAGGTATATAAAACTATTATTCCGAAACAAAGCAATGAGAAACAACATATTGTTAAAGGTTTGCAAATGAAAAATTGCGACGGTTTGGTCGGAGAATACTCTTGTATTGACTAAAAGACCGTTCTACGTCAACAGATGTGACAGGGGCGTAATTCATGTTCACTATATCAGAAGGAGTGAATTCAATGTTCAGAGATCCTTGTTGATTTTTACCAATTAAAATATCTCTGATGATTTTAATAGTTTGAAATCCAGAATTTTTTTAATGATATTGGCAAATTTGTTTTTGACTATTTCTCCCATGTGCCCTTGAGTTTTTTCTAATTTATCTGCAGATTTTTCTACAATGCTAATGCTTTAAAAAAAACAAAAATTTGCAGAAATGTATGACAAGTTGTTTTTTAAATTGATATCTTGCATCAGTGAATTGGCTTTTTCAATAGCTGCGGCCGATTCAGTATCGAAATTTGAAATAACATTTTTTATTTTGTCAAAATGATCACAATAGTATTTGACGGCTTCAAGCCACGTACCCCATCTTGTTATAATAGGTTCAGGAGGCAAATTAAGATCTGGATACATTTCTTTAAATTTCGAAACACGACTTGGCGCTTTTAAGAATATTTTTTTAATGTTCGCTATTAATTGATCAACCTCGGAATAATTACATCTTATTGTTTCTGAGATACGATTAAAACCATGTACTAAACATGACAAATGAACCAGTTTAGGGAAAAATGCTGTCAAAATACTACCAGCTTTAACCATATAAGGTGCAGCATCGGTCAAAAATAAAAATATGTTTCATATTTTACACCATTTGGCCATAATAAGTTCATAGAATCATTAAATAATTTAGCAATAGTTTTATTATTGCATATTTTTTTCAATTTTGCTGATTTATTGATACTGCCTTTTCGCAGCATGAACAGAATAAGATTGCTCCATCACTTTTAAATGTCTCGTTAGGAAACTCTTTTAAATAAAAATTCGCTTTTGATTTCGATTTCACAACTTTTGGCATTTTAAAATAATAAACTAGACGTCGACTAGTACACGAGATTACGTTTTAAATGCATAGAAACTGCAAAAGCTACTAAAGACGATTGTCGAGTACCTACATACTCGACAATGTAGGTACCACTTCCTTATTTTTTATTTATATCGTCAGGCATTAATAAGAGGTACTGAACAAGTTCTAATCTATATAGTGGCATGCCACGTGCCGGAAATAAGTACGTACCTAAATGCCATTTAGTTAACGATAGTCGATAATATTTGGTGGTCGTCAAAAATTACTTATCTTGTTAATTTAGACGAAACAGATAATGTTTAAAGTCGTCAAAAATTGAAAATCACTAAAATAAGCATTAAAATATGTACTTATTTACCAAATATGTAAAAATATGTATTTATACCAAAATATGTAAAAAGTATGTAAAATAAAATTGGGCTTATTTTAATAAGAATGATCTGAATCGTGCACATTTTTTATCAGATTAAAAATATCTCATTCTAATAAAAATATGTATTTACAATAAAATCCGTTCCCTAATAATCAGTTTCGATTCGGATGCTTCTATACGATGTACATTTTTTTTACAAGATTCAATTTGAAATAAACAAAAATTACAATGAATTATAAATCATTTTTTATGAGTCACGGTGCCCTTAGGGCACTGCGCTGGTATATATTACGTAGAACTTATACTGTATAGTAATTGGGTATACCGTTTCAGCGATATTTGAGCATTAACCTTGTTACTGGTTAACCGATATAGCGGTATAATGCTATGTCCTACGTGAACGCTGGCAAAACAGCTTGTATTTCGTCGCGACAAACAGCATGGTTAGAATAGAATTCGCTGGCACTCACCGTAGGACATGGCGTAAGACGGTAAACCGAAAAAACCGTCAACCCCACTTGGTAAATACTATTTCGAGTAAACACTATAGACTCCATATTTTCCGAAAATATTAATCAAAAGAGTTGTTTTCTTTGAAAATAAGTAAATACATGCTTTTCTTGCTTACTCCTTAGTTCTCGAACAACTCGTCAGTAAAAAAAAAACCAAAAATACCTGATATTTAAAATTATGAAAGTTATAATATAATGGATAGTTTAAATCTATTTTATTCACCGTAAACATTTTCTGCGACTCTGCGAGCGCTTAACGCATCAGCTATTATATTTATGATTACGATTTTTTGGGTACCGTCAGTCCACTAATTTTGGTATGGTTCGATGTCGAAATATTGAATTCAGGGCGCTAGGTTGACGGACTTCAGCCCAGCATCCGGAAATTAAGACACACATTTGTGGTTTAGGGCTTATGCTACAAATTCTGATTTTGCGGTTTTAAATTATTACAAATAGTTTGGTAATATTCTAGCATGGTTTGACTTCAAAATTTTAATTTCAGGGTTACACGGACCACGACTGAACGGTAAATATTTATAGTTCTCTAGTGGTGGTGGTACATGGGTAACCCAGAGGCCAGAATTAAAAAAAAAAAAATACAATTTCAAACAGAATGAAACAAAAATCATTGCTTACCATTCAGCGTATACTGATAAAATTAATACTCTTTTACGTATACTCATTTGTTTACAAACATAGTTATGGGTATTATACGCCGTAAACTCGAGTGCATAATACGCTCCAATACACCTCTGCCAATAATGTCATATTAATGCGATACCATATTGTATGGGTAATTTGAGCTACAGGTGGTTCGCCCGTATTTATCTAATGTCATCAGGTGGGTTATATAAATATTATCATAAGAGTATTATTAAGTTTTTACTTTTTAGTAGTTTTCTGGTTACAGAACTATTCGCTAGGTATTATATCATAAGTATTATTATATTATTATTCTAAGTGGTGTAGTTTAGTCTATAATCGTTATTTTATCTAGTTTTTTTTTTACAGTAACTATAAGAATGAGGGTAAGATTATGTATTATTATGCTTACCTTTGATTTTTCTCGAAATGTCTTAAGTTTTTCAAACTCGTATAAGTCTCCTTCCGGGTACTTGAACGAGAAGTTATCGAAAAAAGGGTGTCGTAACAGTTGGTCACATGTCCATCGTCTCAATGGGTCTTTTTCTAGGCACATCTAATTAAAAAACAACATAAAGATTAGCTTGAAACTAGCTGTTCGTCAACAATGATATTTTCTAAAATATGTATGATAAACATTTTTTTTACAATGTTAGACAATTTACGTTAATGCAAGAGAAATGACGAGGCAATGGGTATAAAGTGATGATAGTTATAAAACCACAGACCTCATGAATAACAAAATGTGTTCATAAATATTTACTGTCCTCATAATTTAAATGAGTTTAATTCACAACAAGTTACCTACAAAAATAATTTATTTTTATCACTTTTCGTTGTATATATAGGTACCTCGGTGGCTCCGTTAGCTCAAAACGTCGACGCATTGCCGGCTCTACGATAATTACAAGTCCTGTGGAAAATTATAAATGCGAGTTCTTTTTTTCGTATGATTGTGGGTCGTGGCCCATTATTTTTTATTCGTAACTTTACATTTTTGTCCAATTTCATCTTGATTTATTTTGTGGTAAGACTTACACTACACATTCGCGTTACTTTCTCAATTATTTAATGTATTGTACAAATTGTCGTCTTTAAATATTCATTATGTTATTCATGATCACAACAAGATTTTAATGATATTTCACAAGATTTTAAATTGCATAACTCTTAAAGTATAATAAGGCTCCCTCAGCTATCCCATCAAAATAAAATATCTGGAAGTTATGTTCGGCATTGTCATTCGAATCATCATAACATTTATGGCCAACTTTTATTCTCACCATACACGTTGCCCTCTTTATTCAAATCTGTATTATATTTGTTCGATATACGCATTTATAAAACTATACAGTATACACTATTTATTTAAAATTCTTATTCTGGAGTGAATTAATTAGGTACCCTATGTAGTATACCTATAAGAAGTCTAAAATAAATATTTGTTTTTTTTTCTTTCCAACACCTACCAATAGTATTAATCAAAGGTACTTGTTGAAATGAAAATACAAATATTAAATTATATTAAATTATAATTAATATTATATTAGTATTAATAGTTTATAAATTGTTCATTAAACAAGCGAACAATAATATTATTATTATAAAATAATAAGTAAAAAATAAAATAAATACACATGCCTATTGGCTTATCGCTAATAAATAATATTACTATTTAAATTTGTCCAAAAGATATAAATGGGTAATTTAAATTGTATTTCATAATTATTGCTGTCTCACGAACGACACCCATAGCGACCTATGGCGCTACATGGAAACAATAGGCAACTCTTCGTTATTATTGTAGTATTTATATAAATACCTATCGATGATCGTTTCACTGGCAAATCTATCTGTGATGGGGTTTTCTTATTGTCCTAGTATTATTGGACTTTATTAGATACACGGCACCCCACGGTGGCCTCTATCGGTAAGCCGTGTGATAAAATTATAAAATTGTAAATTAAAAATGAGGTATACACTCGGTACCTTTTTTTCTCTTTTTTTTCAGTTTTTAAACGACGACTCTGCGGGAACTGCTTTCGCATTGCTTCCGCGGCGTCGCCATCGTTTATTGACATCAAATATTTACACATACGTGAGGGGAGGGGGGGGGGGGTAGACGGGACATGCACTTTCAAAAATTATATATTATAATTATATAATACACTCGGTGCCTATACACGGTTATTATTATTTACACGAAAACATAACTACATAGTACCATTGTACATAATATCCAAAAATATTATTTTCCAGTTATTTGCTGCCAATACGGATCTGGTACATTCTGTACCATTTTCTGTGTGAGTTTAGTACGCCCAGTGCTGTAAAGTTAGGTACACAAAACTTAAATGTCCCACCAAAATTAAATCCTCAGACCACCAAGTAATGAGCAGGGCTGTGAATTTTGAATTGTGAAATTTGCATGTTTGTTTTTTTGCTACATTGTATGACAAAATGGATTTGGCCAAAATTTGTTATGGCTGATTTATAGTTCAAATACGAAATCACATTTTGCATATTTTTACATATTTTACGGGTTAGGGAATACAATTGCATGTTTTCACTCGTTCTCCATACTATTGTTTTTTTTCTTAAAATTGTTTTCTTTATTTGATTTCGAGAACATTTTTCAAGCCATTTATTTATTTTATTTTATCTTACATTTATACCTGGAAGTCACGTTTAGTTTAGTAAAATATTTTTTCTGTTATATTGTATAATTTCGTAAAATACTTTTATTTGTGAAAATGTTGGGGTAAAAAAAAAAATAAGTGGATATTTTTAAAGCATATTTGTACTTTTTAAGCACATAAGTTTATGCATATTTAGTACTTTTTAAGAGCATTAAGTCCCGAGCCCTAGAAATAACCAATGCTCCCCAAACACACCCTCTACGTTCCAACAATAACAACAATAACAGAAATAGTCAAAACACTTAATTCAGAATTTAGATGCTGCCACCTTCAAAACCACAACAACCCCCTTGTTCGTAACCTCATAACAAACTTTATTCTCTGAATTAGACAGGCGTCCACTCTGGTACCAGTGGCCTCGACAACTAATTTAATAAATTCACGCTGAAGTGCTGTCACTGGATGGTTCTACTCCCACTCCTTCAAGAATTTTTATGTAAATAAATAAATGTCATAATTACTATGTCTTATATAGTTATAAGTTATAGGTACCTACCTACTTATTGTACTTACCACAAATGAACAGATTGTAGACATTTCGAAACAAATAAAATAAAAAGTAAGCAAGTAAGTAATAAAAAGTAAGTAGGTAATATAAACCATCAGTAAGTTCTTATATAACATTATATGTTCTTATGTAAATTAATACATACAAGTTTCGTTTAAATACTATAAACGGTCAAAGTATTCAAAACACGTTTACGATTTTCCATTTGAAGCAAATATAAAATATTATCGAAATATCGTTATGTAGAAATATATAGAATAGGTAGATAGCTCGTATCTATTTTTGTGTTTGTGACCCACATAACTTAGGTAGGTATTTACTTTATCATAATTGAACGTTTATGGACAAAATTTCAAAAGAAAGGCTGATGAATGAGGTAGGCGTACATAGAAATGACTGGGTGAAAACAGTTCTATCAGTATTCTATGGACACCTAAAGACCATATTATATTTATGTGTCAATAACTCAATATAGGTACTCTTTTTGCTTTTTTATCAGTAAAAACGATTTTATTTCATTTAAAATATATATACTCATTAATATAAAAATGTATATCATTATCTAGGTCAAATAAGTGCAAATATATCGAATACTGTGGAATGACTTAAGTTTCCCGATTGCGCTCGATGAATTATAGGGAGATGGTAAACTGCTACAAAATTACCCTTTTTCTATAAATCGATATGTAAACTACTGCGGCGACGAAAAATTTAACACAATACAATTTGCGAGAGGATACCGATAAGATACCAAGGACGGATCCAGGGGGTGCCTAGGGGCCCTACCCTCCCCCCCAGACATATTATTTTCTAAATTTTTTTAATACTTTACAGAACCTGCAGATATTACTATGTTTCAAATTACATGTATGTCTGATAATATATTAAATTATTATACGTATCATTATGGGGTGCACAAACTGAGATGGTACTATCACAGATTATATTTATATTAATAAAATAAATTAATATAATCCATAGTACTATCTTAGTTCATGGTGAACAGTGATTCCAATATTGTAATTTTACATTGACAAAAAAATTGTGCCCCCCCCCCCCCAGATCTTTGCTCTGGTTCCGTGCCTGTAAGATACACTGCACAGGCCGTGACAATTTATTTTAGCAAGTAAGTACAGTAGTAAGTAGGTACTAAGTAGTATTATCACAAACAAAGGAACCAATATTTAGTAAGTTTCGGTAAAACTTGAAAATACATTTAAATTGACCTTACCAATTTTTAAGTAACATAACATGATTAACTAAACGATATAACTAGGTACATAATAACACAAAGGTATTACCTATATGATTTAAGTGTATAATACGAGTATATGAGTTACTTACCTATATATGTTATCGTATCGAAATGTATATCTACAGTAATATTAGAAGGCATAAAAATAAACTGTCACAGATAGTATTTCGTTACATTTTTTTTTAGCAGCAGCTTAAAATTTTACGCATCGACTTTTAGAAAAACGGAAATTTTTCCGTTGTGTGTACCTAATACAGCCGAAATATAGCTGTTGTCATTGTAACAATTTACATTCCCAATTTCACAGGATTAGTGCTGATCATTGTTAACTTGGTTAAACATTGTTTTAAAAAACTATTCATAGGTACGTGACATAAAATACTATAAATTGCATTTTTTTTTTAGCAATAATAATATTATTTGTCCGAATAAAATATGTCAAATGTTTCGAATGTCATGTACTAATACAGTCGAACTTGGTTAACGGGAACTTTTTAAAATCGGAATCGTAGATACCTCGAACTTTTGACCTCTACTTCGGGTTAAACAAGTCTTAATGTATTTTCGAATATGCAAAAGAGTCTGCAGACTGTCTCAATCGTGTACTAATCAAAGCTTTACATTTAAATATTATGGAACAACATTGAATGTTAAATACATTTAAACATAGTCAATATATCAATTTAAATATAGTCACCTTTAAAAAGTCCAACAAATGTGGAATAGATAATGTTTGTTTGGGTAGTTTTTTTTCCAGTGGTTCGATGACTTCTGGCTGTGGTAAACTCATACCTCGAAAAAATTCGTTCATTTTGAAAATGTGCATGTGTCTAGCTATTAAGTCACCTGAAAATTCAAATTAAACACTGTTAGCTATAATTGTTCTTATTATGTAAATAGGTATAAGAAAACATTCAAGCGGCTCGGTTAATCCAAAAATGTTGAGCTGTTTTTCAATTGGTAATATTGTAGACAGTATAGTCGTAGGTATAGCACTAATACGAAATTTTAAATTCTGACTTATTTATTAGTACATTATTATATAAGCTATAAAGTACATCGTTTGATAAGTATCTTGTCTTGAGATGTCTTTGAAATTGAAAATAAATGTTTTTTTTTTTAAATTATCTTTCCATCAATTAATAAATTTAAGTATCAAATCAATTTTGTGTTTTAAGGATTTTTTTTCGGTTGTATAAATATCTAATATCTATATAACATTATAGATACATTACATGTGCAATTTAAATTGAAGAAAGTCACAGCTATAAAATAATTTATCATAAACAATGATATTTACATTCAAATTTGATATGATTAATTCATATTACACACTCAAAACATACTAATATCAATCCCATTGATCACCACTTGTTTAAGTGATGAGAATTTTCCAATTTTAAAAACTGCATTACCTACAAATCGGAGAACTTTTCATTGAATATTTTTTTCGTGAATTCATATTTTCTTTAGATTAAAAAGGAGATACAATCGGAGAAGATCATATCATAAACATGTGTTCAAATGTTGGCTACGCGTGCTGCATTGGCCATTAAAATGATCGGCTATTTCATACAAAAACAATTTGTATGGATACTTATTGATAGTATATTTAAGCGGTGGTGAGCAATTTCGGCAGGTTATGGTACACACATTCTTGACGCGTATAAACATCATAAATCATAATATTATGGTCATTAATATTCAAAGTTTGATGTAATAACAGGAATAAATATAAAATATGCATCACAACAAGATAGACCGGAAGCTTCATAATATTATTATTGTGTATATAATTTGTCAGAAAATATAACAATTTTATGTGACAGATTATAATTATGCACTTTAAAATATACGAGCACGAGATACCTACATCAATATGTTAATATTATTTTACACGATGACACGGTGCAGTGGTATGGGACGGAATACTTTTAAACATAGAGTGAGGCGGGTATAGGTAAATTTTTATCAACGACCCGCCCACGCGTCTCCTCTACCATCCCTCAAACGACAACAAAACACTGTCATCGATGATGAAA